TCGAAGACTCCACACTCTCGCGAGCTAAGCGATTGCTGTGCAATTTATCGTCAATACGATATTGCATTAACAAAGTTTCTTCGAAGACGTAGATGTATATAAGAGTATTCACTATTCAATATTGCCGCCTCCACCATAACTACACCTAACATATTCAAACATTGATGCGACTGTTCTTAATAAATTGATTAAGCATTTAAAATAAAAGATCCTTCACTTCTAGCCTTCTGGATTTTCGTACTGGTACACGCAGCCCATTAACTCACTCTGCTACGCATGAAAATGTTTCGGTTAATAGGACGAAGATATTTCGCTTTGACGATGTGGAACTTCAATTCGCGATCCATGACTTGGTAACGCCAAACTGTCAAAGGCTCCAAGACCCCGCTCAAGCTGGTGTCTGAGGTCAAGGCATTCCGAAAGCAAATTGTACAGGATTTTTGTGGCCTAAATAATTAATACAAAAATTGTAGAAATGCAACCAGTTTTATTCTGAGGTATAATATAAACTAAGCGTCTTATAAATTACATGCTCGGTCGCTGAGGAAAGAACGAACACCTGTTCCGCAGTCGCGAACCCGACGGAGCGAAATCGCGATACCGGAGCTTCGATTGGTGACGAACATTATTGGTATCGTCCCAGAATGCTTCGTGATACACAGAACCGGAACCTCGCTACTTACGCGTATTTATCGCGTATTAAAAAATCAACTCTACCGGGTTCGCCGGTAGCTTAGCGGCCCGGGACAACTTCGTTTTCCCGTGCACGCTGGACGTTCATAGCAGGAGATGCCTACCCAATTGAGATCTATAGCGGCCTCGGAACGATTTCTATCTTTTCGAGCACGCTGCAGCTCTGCGCACGCTGAGCTACACCGTTGAGAGTTGACACAATCAGACTGCTACGATTATAATGGCAAAATTGATTGCTATAGATTCCACAGAATCAACAACTGCAGGTTCCGTAAAATTGATAGCAAGAAAATAAGTTAATACTATACTTTACTCGTAATATACCCGAAGCATCATAGCATGTTCAAATAATACTTGTTAGGTGTGCAGGATTTTTGAGGCGTAAATAATTAATACAAAAATTGTAGAAATGTAACCAGTTTTATTCTGAGGTGTAATGTAAACTAAGCGTCTTATAAATCACTTGCTCGGTCGCTGAGGAAAGAAAGAGCACCTGTCCGCAGTCGCAGACCCGACGGAGCGATATCGTGATACCGGAGCTTCGATTGGTGACGAACATTACTGATAAGGTTCAGAATGCTTCGTCATTCACAGACGCGGAACCTCGCTACTTACGCGTATTTATCGCGTATTAAAAAATCAACTCTGGCGGGTTCGCCGGTAGCTTAGCGGTCCCGGGTCAACTGCGTCTTCCCGTGCACGCGTAGACTTTCATAGTAGTAGATGCCTACCCAATTGATCTGAAGCTTTAATTAAAAAAAAAAGAGCATACCGCAATGATGTTTCAGGGAGTTAGGATCAGTCAAATTTGGCATAAAGTGTTTCTATGCCATAGTTCTTTTGAGCTGTGTAATATTGCTTTAATTAAATTTTTTTCGTTATATGGAACATATAAGAGGTATATTATACATGTAATTAAAGTAACCATGCAGCAAAGTCAGTTACGGGTAGCACTATGGAACTGCAGAAGTATAAAGTCCCAACGAACGGCAAGCGGCAAAAAAAAGCTGGATACTTTTATAAAATTCAGTCGTGACTATGACATAGTAATTTTAACAGAAACATGGTTGAAACCTGACTGCGAATTCGAAATTGAAGGTTTCAGAATAGTCAGAAATGATCGGGAAAATAAAAAAAAAGGCGGCGGTGTTGCTATTTTGATACGCAACGGACTGCAATACGAAAGAATATCAGAAATTACTTGCGAAGATCGTCATTCACAATTCATTGTAATAAAAGTGATTGGAGAAATGAATGATATTCTCATAGTTGGTTGTTACAGACCGCCTAATAATTCCATTGATCCACAAGAGTGGAACGACTTCTTTGAACAACTGAATAGTAGTGGTAATTTTGTATTGGCAGGAGATTTTAATGCACACCACCGATCGTGGAAGTGCGAAAAAACGACAGCCAGTGGTAATAAACTTCGGCAGCTTATTACGGATTTCAGCTGCGAGGTACATAATACAAAGCACAAGTCACATATCGAAAATCGGAAATACCCAGCAAGCAACATCGATTTAATTATTACGAACTCAGCTCTAAATGGTAGTGTAAAAACTGATCAGGGACTCGATACAATGGGATCTGACCATTATCCTGTGCAATGTATCATAGATTTCGATTTCCTCGTACGAGCCTAATGTTTAGTGCAAATTTAGTTTATGTTGTTTAATGTACTGTAATGAGAAGTTTATTTATAATGTTTAATGTATAATGTTTGTTAATGTTAAGTTTGTTTAACGCTAAGCGAAGGAGCGCATTCGTTTCCGCTCTTATGTGTTTATTTTATAAGCGTTGATGCACCGATTCGCAAAACATTGTAATCATAGACGCAGGAATATTACCTATGAAAGGCAATTATTTTACCATTATAATCGTAACAGTCTGATTGTGTCAACTCTGAACGGTGTAGCCCAGCGTGCGAAGAGCAGCAGCGTGCTTGGAAAGATGGAAATCGTTCCGAGGCCGCTATAGATCTCAATTGGGTAGGCATCTACTGCTATGAAGGTTCACGCGTGTAAAGGAAGACGAAGTCGACCCGGGCCCGCTAAGCAACCGGCGAAACCGGCAGAGTTGATTTTTTAATAAGTGACTGTTCGATTCTATGCAAAAATTCGCTAGGAATACGTGTAAGTAGCGAGGCTCCTCGTCTATGAACGGCGAAGCATTTTCGGACGTTATTAGTAATGTTGGTGAACAGTTGAAGCTCCGTTATCGCGTTATCGCTCCGTCGCGTCGGGTCCGCGACCGCGGAGCAGGTGTTCGTTCTTTCCTCAGCGACCGAGCGAGTAACTTATAAGACACTTATTTTTCCTTATACCTCAGAATAAAATTGGTTACATTTCTACAATTTTTGTATTAATTATTTACTCCTCCAAAATCCTGTACACCTAACAAGTTTTATTTGAATATGCTATGATGCTTTGGATATATTACGAATAAATTATAGTATTAACTTACTTTTTTGCTGTCAGTTTTACGGAATCTGCACTTGTTGATTCCGTAAAATTTATAACAAACAAAGAAGTGAATACTATAATTTACTCGTAATGTACCCGAAATACCATGGCATATTCAAATAATACTTAACACATTAAAGGCGGGGGATCTTGACGAAAGCATGCTAGGTAGTACGGCAATAACAAAACATACTAAATACAAATGTGAAGTGGCACATGATTGCGCAATGTGGTTGCAAACCGTACTAATACGACTCCCGCCTTTAAGTTACAGTCGAGGTAAATCGTAATACTACGACTCCCGCCTTTAATGTGTTAAGTTCTCACTGGTCAGATGACGTAAACAAGATAAGCCAAAAGAGTAGGGCAGTTTAGAGATAAGTAGGAGTATCAAAAGAGAAGCAGGTAGGCGTGCGAGAGTTAGAACTAGATCAAAATCAGATCATATTGCGAGCCAGATCAAAAACAGAGCCAGTCAACACGGTCGGATCATCGATTATTCTGTTACGAGTCAGATATCGTGATTCATTCATTCGAGAGCGTTCGACTAACATTTCTGTAACAATAACCAATAACATTGTAATATTGTCCGGGATAAGAAATAAGGTTTTTTTTTAAAAATGTAAATGGAGCGATTTCGTGCATAACAAAATTGGTGAGAAAAAACTTTATTTCTTATTCGGCACAATATTACAATGTTATTGGTTATTGTTACAGAAATGTTAGTCGAACGCTCTCGAATGAATGAATCACGATATCTGACTCGTAACAGAATAATCGATGATCCGACCGTGTTGACTGGCTCTGTTTTTGATCTGGCTCGCAATATGATCTGATTTTGATCTAGTTCTAACTCTCGCACGCCTACCTGCTTCTCTTTTGATACTCCTACTTATCTCTAAACTGCCCTACTCTTTTGGCTTATCTTGTTTACGTCATCTGACCAGTGAGAACTTAACACATTAAAGGCGGGAGTCGTAGTATTACGATTTACCTCGACTGTAACTTAAAGGCGGGAGTCGTATTAGTACGGTTTGCAACCACATTGCGCAATCATGTGCCACTTCACATTTGTATTTAGTATGTTTTGTTATTGCCGTACTACCTAGCATGCTTTCGCCATCTCACTATTTTCGTTGTAATGTCCCTTTTACTCATCGTTTCTTCAAATGCCTGACAAATAGCTATAATTTTAAATTTAATACCTAAAAGGTAAACACGCAGTCTTTCTAATGCTTTTATCACCGCTAATACTTCTAATTCATAACAGGAATATTTCTTTGCAATTTCGGTTGTCTTTTTACTACGAAGGTTGTCCGTAAAATAAGGTTCTCAAGGTGCTGCAGTTGCGTGGAACGCTGTTATGCGGGATCCGGCAACACTGACGTGTAACTTGGTTCTCGTTCTTCTAATCCCCGTCGCGACGAACTGTCTGCGACGCTCGATTTCGGCATGGCAGCCGCTAGAGATGGAGCTCCCACTCGCTTCTCCAGCTAGGTGGGAATTACGCGCTGCGATTCGTTTTTCGTGTGCAAAGAACACTGCAGCGGTGGACATTAATCGCCAATTATACGAAGTCAACGGAGAAAAGTGAATGAGCGTACAACATGTGCGAAAATGGTGCAGAGAATTCAAAGACGGACGTACAGGCGTCCATGACGAACAGCGCTCTGCACGGCCATAGGTTTCGAACGAAACAATTGCAAGAATGGAAGAAACAATGCCGAAAGATCGAAGGGTGACGGTTCGGGAACTCTGCGAGATGTCAGCAAGACCTGCATTGACAAAATTTTGGCAGACCACTTAGAGTATGCCAAGGTTTGTGCTAAGTGGGTCCCGAGAATGCTTACAGAAGACCACAAACGGCAAAGTGTTAAAGCGGCCAGCGAATTTCTTCAGGTGTATGAAATCGACAGTAAAAAATTCTTGGACTCTATTATCATTGGGGGCGAGACCTGGCTCTACTTCACGACAACGGAAACGAAACAACAATCCTATCAGTGGAAACATCCAAAGTCGCCAAAGACGCGAAAGTTCAGACAAACACAGCCTGCCGGCAAAGTAATGGCGAGCGTCTTTTGGGATAGGAAAGGGTTATGATTGTGCGAATTCATGACTACCAGTACAACAATCAATGCGGACCGCTACTGTGAGACGTTGAAGAACCTTTGCCGCGCGATTCAAAACAAGAGGAGAAGCATGCTCACGAAGGGTGTGCGTTTCCATCAGAGCAACACTCGTCCGCACATCGCCCGTATATCAATCGACCTCATCAAAAAATTTGGATGGGATACTGTAACACAACCAACCTACAGCCCAGACATAGCCCCAAGTGACTATCATCTCTTCCCTGAATTGAAGAAACACCTGGGTGGGGCGCATTTCAGAACCAGAGAGGAGCTGGAAGAAGAGGTTTTAAGCTACCTTCGCGGCGCAGCTCCGCATCACGCGTACATGAAGTACTCAAGTCCTACCGCCTGAGCGGAAAGTATAGCAACATAGGCGCAATGTAACCAATGTAGCTGCAATGTATGCCGTATGCCACATTGCCACTGAAATCCTAATTCTTCTTTCTGAACACACAATTCAAATCTTCGGACCCGCGTAATACACATTGCAAACAGCATTTCCATGTTCAATATTGTCGCCACTATTAAAAACTACACTGAACATACTCAGACAGTATTTCAACAGTTCTAAATAAATTAAGTGAGATTTTAAAATGAAAGATTCTTCACTCCCAGCTTTCTGTATATTCATACTGGCGCACGGAGCTGATTCGCACACTCAGTCGTGCATGAAAATGTTACCGTTAATAAGTCGCAGATATAACTTTAGCGATGGGTAATTACAACCTACTGAACCTAGTCAGATCATATTGCGAGTCAGATTAAAAACAGAGCCAGTCAACGCAAACGGACCATCGATTATTGTGCGGACTCAGATAAACTGATTCATTAATTCGTGATCGTTTGACTAACATTACTGTAACAATAACCTGTAATATTATAATATTGTGTGAGATGATAAATAAAGCTTTTTTCTAAAAATGTAAACGAAGCGATTTCGTGCGTAACAAAATTGTTGAAAAAAAACTTTCTAATTTAACGAACTCCCACGCGCCTATTTGCTCCTGTTTTGATACTCCTACTGATCACTAAACTGCGCTATTCTTTAGGCTCATCTTGTTTACGTCAACTGACCGGTGAGAACTTAAGTATTATTTGAATATGCCATGGTACTTCGGGTACATTACAAGTAAATTATAGTATTCACTTCTTTGTTTGCCATAAATTTTACAGAATCAACAACTGCAGATTCCGTGAAATTGGCAGCAAGAAAATAAGTTAATACTATACTTTACTCGTAATATACCCGAAGCATCATAGCATGTTCAAATAATACTTGTTAGGTGTGCAGGATTTTTGAGGCGTAAATAATTAATACAAAAATTGTAGAAATGTAACCAGTTTTATTCTGAGGTGTAATGTAAACTGATTCATTAATTCGTGATCGTTTGACTAACATTACTGTGTAACGCGATAACTGAGGCGCGAACTACTCGCGCCGCCGATAGGTGGCGAGAACCGCGAGTCGCGGTTTCTCGCGGCATAACCGGTTACCAATCGCGTATATAAGTCGGCGCGAGATACCGAACTACCGGAGAGCGTCCGGTACCGTCTTAGCGAGCGCACCGATCCGAGCGAGCAAACCGACGCCGAACATAGCTCTCCGACGATTTTTGGTTGTAACCCTGATTCCTCCGACAGGGGGTGGACGTACGGAGTGTGTTATCCGCAGCCTACAGTCCGCCGGTATCCCCTGTATCTCCCGGTCCTGTCGTCGTGGCAACGCTACGAAACGGGGACGTCCCGACCGCCAAGAAGACACCCGTGCGTTATCGGCAGAGTGTCCTTGGGCTCACGGTCTCCTGCCAGGGGAGGACGGCGTGTGGTATCGGCAGCCGTTCCGACCTATAACCGGCAACGTGTGGAACTCCGCTCCTACTCTTCCTACCCTACCCAGCGACAGTTGTATAGCGGAAACCGACCCGGACCTAGCGACTGTGCGATTCCCGGCGACCGCGGGCTCACCGCGAGCCCACCGGTGTTATAACAGGAAATTTATTAAAATAAGACTCACCCACTCTTTGAATTTGGCGCCCGAACAGGGACTCTCAACCGCGAGAGAGAGCATAGGACATACAGTGTATGTCATCGGTGGGGTGGGTCTACCGCCGGACGAAGGCAGAGTTAATTCTGTTTGCAGGAGAGAACCAGCTAGACTCCACAGGCACCCTCGACACTCTACGGGCCAGGATCGTCCACCATCTACGGAGTATGGCGACCAAGCGCGGGGACCCCGAGGAAGCTGGACCGTCCGCCCGGACTGGACCACCAGTAGACTTCGCCTTCTGGGACCTGCTCCGCAAAAGTGGTATCTTCTTCGATGGCGGCAAGGGGGCCGAGGACTTCGTCGACCGGCTCGAGCATCTGCGGGCCACCTTTAGCCTCCAGGAGGACAGCCTCCTCAAATGCTTAGCAGTGGCGATGCGAGGACCAGCCCTAGCCTGGTACCACAACCACCAACACAAGTGGAGGACATGGGCCGACTTTCTAGGAGCCTTCCGGCGAGAATACCGCCCGCAGCACCTCACGGACCAGTTGGACAGCCGGATCTTCCGGCGACAGCAGCAGCCCGGCGAGACGGGCCAGGCCTACCTGACAGACCTGGAGACCATGATGCGGCGTCATGGAAACCTGACCGACGAAGAGCAGTTGACCCACGCCTACCGCAACCTGCTACCGGAGTACCGGCGGTACATCCGCCGCACGGACCTTCACACCCGGGACGATCTACTCCGTATGATTACGGAATTCGAGGAGTTGGAGCAGGAGGTCTTGGCCGCACGTCCGCCACGTGCCGCCCCGAGGAGCCAGGCGGCCGAGATCAGGGGAGCCCGCTACAACAGGGAGACCTGCTGCTGGCGTTGCGGCCAGCGAGGCCATCTCAGGAGCGAGTGCCGCCAGCCAGGAAGGTTGTTCTGCAGCCATTGCGGGACCGAAGGCCGCCAAACCCGGAATTGCCCCTGCCACAGCCAGCAGGGAAACGCCGCGCGGGGCGACGTTCAAGGCGTCGCCCGACCCGCGCCTCCACCCACCCGCCCGTCCACCCGGTAGAAGAGGACAGACGAATCTACATCCCCTTTGAGGTGTGGGGATACAAAGGCGAAGCCCTCGTCGACACCGGGGCCACCCGGTCATATTTCCGAAAGGACTTGGCGGCGTACTGCGAATGGCACGGCGACCACTGGGATAAGGAGCCCCAGGAAGTTCGAGTCGCCGATGGTAGCCCAGCTGTCACCGCCGGCCAGATCCACAGCATCGTCACCATCGACGGCCGGCAGTTCGAACGTCGCTACCCCGTGCTGCCTGACATGAACTATGTCATGATCGTCGGGGTAGACCTCCTGGGACAGCTGGGGACTACCGTCCAAATCGGCACCCACCGCTGGACCCTTCCCGAGTCTCCAGAGCTTCTGGAGATCACCGGACCGACGGGATGTACGCCGGAGCAGAGCCGAAGGTTGCAGGAGCTGTTAGCCGAAGAACTGCCTCGCTTCGCCCAGCTGCAACCCACGACCACCTGGATCGAGCACCGACTACGGCTCAAGGAGGGAGCCGAACCGGTCAAGCACCGGTACACGCCGCGGAACCCCGCCATGCAGGCCATCATCGACGAAGAGGTCGATGGGATGTTGGCAGCCGGAATCATCCAACCGTCGCAGAGCCCGTGGAGTTCCCCAGTAGTGCTGGTCCGCAAGCCGAGTGGGAAGTACCGGTTCTGCATAGACTTCCGCCAAGTCAACCGCCGGACGGAGAAGGATGCGTACCCGCTGCCCCAGGTCCAGGCTACCCTGGAGAAGCTGCGGGAGGCCAAATTCATCTCCACCATCGACCTCGCAGATGGGTATTGGCAGGTACCCTTGGAGCCAACAAGCCGTCCACTCACCGCCTTCACCGTACCGGGACGGGGCCTGTACGAGTTCAAGGTGATGCCGTTTGGCCTCCACTCCGCTCCAGCGACGTTTCAGCGGCTACTCGACCAAGTAATCGGGCCTAAGTTGGCCCCCTGGAGTTTCGCCTACCTCGACGACATCATCGTCCTGGGCAAGACATTCGAGGAGCATCTGGCGAATCTCCGAGAGGTCTTCAAGCGCCTCCGCGCGGCTAACCTCCGGCCAAACCCCGAAAAGTGCCACTTCGGGAAAACCCAGCTGACCTATCTGGGACACGTAGTCACTGGCCAGGGGATTCACACCGACCCGGGGAAGGTAAAGGCCATCCGGGAGATTCCAGCCCCCGCCAATGTCAAAGAACTACGGCGATTCCTGGGAGCGGTCTCCTGGTATCGAAGATTCATTTCTCGGTTTGCCGATCTGACGGCACCGCTCAACCGACTGCTGAAGAAACGTCAACGGTGGACCTGGACAGCCGAGGAGGAGGCAGCATTCCAGGAACTTCGGCACCAACTCGCCACGGCGCCAGTATTGGCGTGTCCTGACTTCGAGCGCCCGTTCGTGCTACAGACCGACGCGAGCAACCAAGGGCTAGGAGCAGTCTTGACCCAGGACCATGATGGCGAGGAACGAGTCATCGCTTTCGCAAGCCGCACGCTGAATAAGGCTGAGCGAAACTACTCGGTCACCGAGAAGGAGTGTTTGGCAGTAGTCTGGGGAATCCGGAAAATGCGGCCCTACCTGGAGGGCTACCGGTTTACTGTACTCACCGACCACCAGGCGCTGAAGTGGCTACAGGCGATCGAGAGTCCTTCTGGACGACTGGCGCGGTGGAGTTTGGAGCTACAACATTTCGACTTCGAAATACAGTACCGGCGAGGAGAAAGCAATATCGTGGCCGACGCTCTGTCACGTCAACCTGAGGAACAGACCACCGACCAACCCGAAGAAGTGGACGCTGTCGAGGGCACTCCTCCCGACTCCTGGTACAACCGAACCAGCCAAGCCGTACGAGACGACCCGGAACAGCACCCGGAGTACCGATGGCAGGACGAGCACCTATATCGATACTTCCCGGAGCACACCGGTCTTCACCCGGACCAGGATTGGAAGCTGTGCGTCCCCAAGACCAACCGAGAAGCCGTCCTCAGGGCTAACCATGACGCACCCACGGCCGGACACCTGGGGATAAGCAAAACCATCGCTCGCTTGGCCCAGAGATACTACTGGCCGGGTATGTTCCGGGACGCCGCCCGCTACGTACGAAACTGCAAAAGCTGCCAAGAATACAAGGCGCTGCAGAAGGCTCCAGCGGGAAAGATGAAGACCACTCCAGCCGAGAATCCATGGGCAGTAGTCTCGATTGATCTAGTGGGACCACTTCCCCGCTCCAAAAAGGGTCACACCGTGCTGCTCGTGATGCAAGACAAATTCTCGAAGTGGGTGGAACTCCACCCCCTCCGCCAGGCCACCGCACCAGCCGTCACCCGAGCGGTACGGGAAAAGGTCTTGCTGCGACATGGCTGCCCACGCTGTATAATCACCGACAATGGCCGTCAGTTTGAGAGCCGGGAGTTCGCGACTCTGCTGCAGGCGAGTGGCATCCAGCACCGGAAAACACCGCCCTACACTCCCCAGTGTAACCCCGTGGAGAGGACCAACCGTGTGATCAAAACCATGATCTCACAATACGCGAGAGAAGATCACCGCACATGGGACCAATGGATCGCCGAAATAGGCTTTGCCTACAACACGGCCCGGCATGACTCTACGGGATACACTCCCGCATTTCTAAACTACGGGAGAGAGCTCCGTGCCCCAGAAGACCCGGCCACCTATCCGGCAACTGCAGTCCAGTCCCGGCAAGAAGGTCTCGATCAGCTAAAACACGCAAGGACGCTAGCACGGAGAGCTTTGGCGGAGTCTTACGTCCGCCAAAGCAAGTACTACAACCGTCATCGAAGAGACTCCGTGCCCAGCGTCGGGGACATGGTCATGCAGCGGATCTACCCGCTCTCCTCGGCCGAGACAAGTACTACAACCGTCATCGAAGAGACTCCGCGCCCAGCATCGGGGACATGGTCATGCAGCGGATCTACCCGCTCTCCTCGGCCGAGAAGGGGTTCAACGCCAAACTCGCCCCTAAATACGCTGGACCATACCGGGTTACGAAATTTCTTGGGCCTACGGTAGTCCTGCTCCAGGGGCCGCGCGGCCGCCCGAGGCGCGCGCATATACAAGACCTCAAACCTTGCCCCACCGCCGCGCACGACGCTATAAAAGACGGGCCGACAAGCGATCAGGGATCAGTCTTCAACGAGCTACTGGAGCACGATGAAGCGCCATCAACCAGCCGACGACCCAGTGCCTCTGGGAAAGAACACCCAGGACCATCGCCCTCCCGAAGCGAAGCCCAGGATTCGAGATGTCCAGGTCGGACTATGGCCGATCCGGGTTACGACCGCGACACCAACCCGCAGGGGGCCGCCGCCCAAGATACGGCCACCCGCCCGCAAGCCGGCAATCGGGGCAGATTTGTCAGTGGTAACCACCACGGCCGGGCCGTTGAGACCAGCAACCGGGTGTCCGGCACCTGCGCCACCACCACCGCCGCCGAGCACGGCGACAAGGCAACCCCCAGTAGGGTTACCAGACCTTGGTCCAGGAGAAGCCCCCGGCACAGCACAGGTACTGTGTCACCCTCCACGAGCTCCCCGCACAGGTCAGACCGGGGAAAAACCACCAACCCGGAAGCGGTCAGCGGCAACAACCGAACAGCCCAGCGGAAAGCGGCAACCTGCCGGAAGACGACAGCCCACCCCGACCGCCCAGGTCAGGGCAGAGGCGACTCACCGTCCTACGCACCTCAGCCGAGGCGTACAAACAGACCCGCAGCCACCGACGGAACAACGGACCAGGAAAGCCGGGAAACCTGCTCCCGGGGACATCGGAGCAACGCATCGGCCCCTTCGCATCAACCGGGGAATCCAAACGGAGAGACAACGACTGACTACCCAGGATACACAGACGAGAAGCCGAACGGTAGAAGAACGAGCCGTGCAAACCGAGGCAGTACGACAAGCACCCCGACCAACGGCAGTGGTCACTACCGAAGAGGGCCACGGAGCCGAGGGAGAAATTTTTTTGGACCTGCCTCGCCTGACAGAGCGCAGGCCCGTAAAACAAACACTCCCGAACGGCGTGACCCTTTCTATAAAAAGGGTCAATGCCCGAAGGATCCGCATTCGAACTACGGCCCCGGAACCAGCACCGGCACCCGCACCGGAACGGACACCAGCACCAGGACCAGCCCCCGCCGCAGTTGGAGGATCGCCGCCCAGGCTCATCCATCCTGAGGAGGACCCGGTCGACTTACGGGTATTTCACCGCACGCTGGACCTAAGTGACTCGAGCGATAGTGTGTGAGAATAAGTGCGCGAAAAGACGCAATAATAGTATAATTGATGGACGGCCACCATACCGCATTAAGTATTAAGTGTTAGGA